TGAGATAATCTTATCATATATTTAATTAAAGAACTAATAAAACCTCAACATTTCCAACCCTAATTTCCAAAATAACCAAAGCCTATTAGCCATAACCCTCCTAATAAAAACATCCCATATAAACAAAAATTTGATTTTTTTTTAATTAAATAAAAAGAAAAATATCTAAATTTGCACCTAACATCTTTTTCCATGTCCACTTGATCTTTCGCATAAGAGAAAGCACCAAAATAGCAGCAAGAAAGATATCCATTATAAACTACATTTGGGTGGTCGAGCGATTCGATAGAGACTTTTGGTGTATTACTTAAAAGGTCTTAAGTTTGAGACATTCTTTAGTTGCTAATAAGGGTAGTCATAAGAACTTTTACTCAACTAGTAGTTTTAGGATTTCGGAGAACTAGTTAAGGTGTACGTAAACTGATTCGGATATCCCCGTTCATTAAATAAAAAAAAAAAAAAAAGATATCCATTATATTTTAGCCCAAGTTAATTACTTTTGATTGTGAGAACAAGTAAGATCATTGATAAATGTTCAAATGTGAGGGGAGCTCGACAAGTTTCCTAAACATGTCGGTTGTAAAAGTAAAATCTATGGGGAGGTGAATAATAGTAACCCAAAATCGAATAAAATGACATAATCAGAAATCAACGGTGATTAATTGATGATGATATTCTGCGTCACGAAAAGTTTAAATAAAAAGGTGGCTTCTAGGTTTTGGAAACTGGTGTTGGGTGGTCTCTGATAACTGTAAAGCATAAATAAAGAAATTATTCTGTGTGTGTTTGTGTGAAGAGGTTGTGAAGAAACAGAGCAGAAGAGTAATGGGTGGCGGGTCAGTGACGGAGTTGAAATCAAAGGAGGAACTGGATAACGTGCTCCAGAGTGGCGCACCGGTTATCCTGCACTTCTGGGCGTCATGGTGTGATGCCTCTAAGCACATGGACCAAGTTTTTTCTCACCTTTCTACCGATTTCCCCAATGCCCATTTCTTCAGGGTTCGATTATTTATTCTATTCTTTTTTTTTTTTTCCAATTTAATAAAAGTCCTTGGTTAAGCAATTGATATGGGAATTGTAGGTTGAAGCTGAGGATCAACCTGGAATATCTGAGGCTTACTCTGTTTCCGTTATACCTTATTTTGTTTTCTTCAAGGTATATATTTAATTTGTTATTTATTTTTGTTATTCTTCAAGGATATAGTAGTTTTGTTCTTTGGAAAATTCAAGAAATTATAATTTTTGGTTTGAATGATACAGTTTTAACTGTTTGAATTGTGGATTTTGTGTTGTTACTGAAAGTCGGTGTTTATCTCTATTAGGTAGAAAAGGTGACGCTAATTTTAATTTTTTGATTATGATTTTTAGTCTTTTTTGTTTTTATTGTGGTTTTCAGCCTCTAATTCCATCATTTTAGTTTGTTATTAGAAATTTATGTTGATCACCAGTAGGTTGATTGTGATGTTCTTGTCCAGATCCACGATCATGTACCCTTCAATCCGATTCATTTTGGTTATTTTTCCTTTGAATTGATAGTTGCTGGCCCTTTGCACTGGAAGTATAAGCAAGATTTATTTACGATTGATTAAAGCTGTAAAAGGACACGGTTGGATTGTGGCGGTATAACCTTGGGATGTAATAATTGGAGTTTATAGTGTTTGAATCAATACCACACAGATGGCATTGATCTTGATTGAGGAGAAAATTTGTGTGATAAGGTATATTATGGCTTTATCAGTAGATTTCGTAGAATTTAAAGTCATTACTGTAAACATTTGAGCAACCACCCTTTACAGATGATATTAACCAAATTTGGCAGAAGTTTTTTAAAAGCGAATTGTTGGAATATGGTATTGTAGCTAGGTAATTTGTATCCATGATGTTGCATAAAATTTTATGTAATATATGCACCGTGAAAATGTAGAGGCTGGATATTGCTAATCATACACTCACTTTTGACATGTTGGTCTATCTATGCTTACACCAATAAAACAAGTAGGTATGGTTAATGAATTGAGTCCCTCAAATTTTAGCCTCAGAGAAGATATTTTTAGCAAGATGGTAGATTTGTGGTATGACTCTCATTATTCGTGGAGAGAGTTGAACATGGGTGACATTTGGGATAACTCTATTTTTATTGGGGTGAACAAGTTAAGTGAGAGTTGGCTTTGTGTCTTCTACCTTTTGTGGTTTACTTTTTATGTTTCTCACTCCTTACTGGGGGCTTAGGCTAAGTTGGTCCTTAACAATCAAATTCATGTCGTTCCAAAATACTTGGCTTTTGGTCTCTTGAATTTTTTATTTGAGAACAATGAGAATTGGTATTTCACTCTGAAATTAATGACTAGAACTGAGTGGAGAACTGTAGCTTAGAATTCACGGAATGCTCTTTGTGTTTAACAAAAAAAATATATTGAATATCACACTAACCTGTTGATATTTTTATCTGATATTCATAAAAAAAAAATTATTGGATTTGCCTAAGAAATTTATTCTTCGGCTGAAGTAAGTGGCTTTTTTTGAAGGTGGTTTTGCGACCACAAGAACGCTGTGGTTACGGCAATCAGTTAAAGACTTCCAGATGTCTTAGCATATTATGGATGTTATAACTTTCAGGGTGTTTCAACGTAAAACATGATCATAATTAATTGATCTACCCTGTCAATAGCTCAATCTAGTTGACATATCCTTCTGATTTATAGTTAACACAATGGAGTTCCATTCAAATGGATGGCATGTTCAATAATACCCTTTTATATTTATATTTTTTTAAAATTAGGCATGAAATTTAGGTGATTTTATTGTTTCATCTGTTCCCCTTCTGTAGTTTTCTATGCTGACGCTACTGCCTTTCTGTTTAGCTTTTGGTTTGTTTAACAGGTCAGGTTATTTATCATATTCTGAGTTTGGCATTTGCAACAGTCAATTAAATCAGTGATTATCTAAGTGGTTCAATGTTTCCTGCTAAAATTCCTATTAAATGAATTTTCTTGGCAGGATGGTAGAAGTGTTGATAAATTGGTGGGTGCAGATCCATCTAGTTTGACCAACAAAGTTGCTAAGGTTGCTGGCTCAGTGAACCCTGGAGAACCTGCAGCTCCTGCCAGCCTCGGGATGGCTGCAGGAGCCACTGTCCTTGAAGCTGTGAAAGAGCTAGCACAAGAGAATGGCTCTTCCCAATTGAACAGACAAGTGCAACCCAGCCTCGGTGATGCACTTAAAAAGCGACTGCAGCAGCTGATTGACTCTCACCCTGTCATGTTATTTATGAAAGGAAGCCCTGAAGAGCCCAAGTGTGGATTCAGTAGGCAAGTTGTTGACATTTTGAAAGATGAAAAGGTCACATTTGGAAGTTTTGACATTCTTTCTGACAACGAAGTTCGTGAGGGATTGAAGAAGTTCTGTAACTGGCCAACGTTTCCTCAGCTCTATTGCAAAGGAGAACTTCTTGGTGGGTGTGACATAGCAATTGCTATGCACAAGAGTGGTGAACTAAAAGACATTTTCCGAGATCATGGGATTGAAACTGTTGATGGAAGTGGAAAGAGTGGCATCTCTGGATCAACTGGCTTAAGCACAACTGTTGCCTCTCGGCTGGAAAGCCTGATTAATTCAAGCCCTGTAATGCTGTTTATGAAGGGAAAACCAGAAGAACCCAAGTGTGGATTCAGTGGGAAGGTAGTTGAAATCCTCCAACAAGAAAAAGTTGATTTTGGGAGTTTCGACATACTCACCGATGAAGAGGTTCGCCAAGGTCTTAAAGTTTATTCAAACTGGTCTAGTTATCCCCAGCTATATATTAAGGGTGAACTTATTGGTGGATCAGACATTGTCTTGGAGATGCAAAAAAGTGGGGAACTTAAAAAGGTTTTAGCTGAAAAAGTTGTTATCAATCAGAAAGAGAACCTTGAAGATCGCCTGAAGAACATAATTAAGTCATCACCAGTGATGCTCTTCATGAAGGGTACTCCAGATGCTCCTAGATGCGGCTTCAGTTCCAAAGTTGTCAATGCCCTCAAGGAGGAGGGTGTGAGTTTTGGGTCGTTTGACATTTTAAGTGACGAGGAAGTGAGGCAGGGATTAAAAGTCTTCTCAAACTGGCCAACCTTCCCCCAGTTATACTACAAAGGTGAGCTGATAGGAGGTTGTGATATTGTACTGGAGCTACGAAACAATGGAGAGCTGAAATCCACCCTATCGGAGTAGGGTAGATGCAATTTTCGTCAAGTAATACAAGATAAACCTGGGATAAGTTTCAGTTATCTTTGGCAGAGTTGCCTTTGACATTATACATGTTCCAGAAGTTTGCTTGATGTACGCTATGGTGACTTGATATCATATGGTTTTCTGGTATAATTATTGTTGCATCATCTGCATACTTTGTGGCATATCTAAGCTGTATGATGAAGTTTGTTACTTAATGATTTTCAAGTTGGCTTACCATTTAATTATTTTTATGCATTAGCTGTGGATAGCTGCTAGAGCTCTGGATATCTGTTTTTTCTTCCTCATTGGAGGTTTGCATCATTTACATGTTTCTTTCTTATTCTTGTATAACCGACAAATTTTTGCCCTAAAAATGTGGTTTGATGCTCTTTGCCTACCTGCGAGAAGTTTTTATTGTTTATGCATCATAACTGACCCCAGGAAAGTGAGAGTCCTCAATCTTAGTATGGTCTGTTGTACATCCTCAAAAAATCTAGTTAGTTAAACTACTAGTAATTAGCATTGATAAGTTAGGTCTTGCCTACAAATGAAGCAGTGTTTACATTAACGTAAATTTTATACATTAGTGTAAATTTTCTAAACTCGTAACGTTTCTGAATTCATAATGTAAAACTTGTAACATGCACTTGTAAAGTGCTAATTAAATTCAAAAGCCCATTAGCAAATAGATAAAAGTTTCCAGCAGAAACAATGCTAAAATCAATGGGGACTACGCTGAATCAAGTACATGGGGAGAAGTAAAGTTGAACCTTTACATATAAGGTGAGACAGCATTATGAAAATATAATATTTTGCTGCCAACCATAGAACCAAGGACCTGTATCTGGTATCCAGTATTGACTACTCAAAATCGATCTTATTATACTAGAAAAGCCGCCAACTGGTACCTTCATCGCTTCATAACACGAAGTGGTCCTGTGTGCCAGGGAATTCGCCTTGCATGGGAACCAAAATCATTCATACAGTTTGGTGAGAAGAGTAAGAAGCCATTAATTTCTAAATTTCCCTCACCCCTATGCTAAGTATGTTCTTTGTTTCTTCATCTTCATCGATTTTATCAGCTTTCATGCAGGCCAAGAGCTTATCAATCCCTTTACCACTTCTTATATTTGCCTTTATCAAGGCATGATACATTTGTCTGTTCATCGGGATGACAGCCCTCAATGCCGCCACAAAAGCTTCTACATCTTGAACACTACCTTCATTACCCAGTCTACTCAAAATGTTTGCAATCACCTTTGGGCTCGGTTTCCATCCTTTACCTTCAACATGTAGAGAGAGGGCAGCCTTCATGCAATCCAAACCTTTTTCTGTCTTACCTTCAGTAAAATAACCTGCTGCCACAACTGCCCAACTGTTTGGGGTGGTAATCTTTCCTTTCTCCATCAAGTGTTCAAGCATAGCTTCTGCTTTCTCATATAATCCATTTTTACAGTATCCAATGACGATAGTGTTTGGTATGCGAACATCATAACTGTTGCCAGATGATTCCCACTCTTTTAGCACTTTCTCGGCTTTTTCAAGCTCACCAAGCTTCACCAAAGATTCCTGCATGGTGATGTAGTCCCTGTTCATATACCTCTTACAAGCACTTTTCTCTAAGTCCCATAATCTCAGGACCTCAGACTTATTTCCTAAACTTGCATAGAGCGATATCAGATGATTATACCCTATCCCATCTTTCTTATCTAGCCTCTCTTCTGATTTTCTTAAAACATCGTATGCCTTATCAATGAGGTTGGCTTTAATGTAAAAATTTGCAGCAACAGCATATGTATTCCAGTCCATGACAATGTGAGGTTGGCTCTCCATCTCTCTTAAAATTGTTTCCATTCTCTCAACATCAGATCTAGCACCATAGGAATTTATGCAGATTCTGTAGCTGAAGTTGTCAGGAAAGACTGTGTTTTCCTTCATCTCGGTTAGCACATCAGGGACCTTCTCATATTGCCCAGTATTTGTGTAGAGGCACATGATGTCATTGTAAGTCAAAGCAGATGATGCAAATCCCATCTCCTTCATTTTCTGTAAATGGGAGAGGGACTTGTCAATTTGGCGTTGCCGCACGTAACAATTCAGAAGAGCTCCATACGTCTTATCAGTTTTATCCTGGTCTTTTAAGTTATTAAAATAGTTTTCAGCAGATATAAACCCACGGACCCTGCCAATCAGATCCAACTGTACGGCAAGTTCACTTGCTGTGAAAACACATACACCTTTGCGATTCATCCACTCTGAAACCTGCAACCAAATTAAATATTCATCCACTCAGAAACCAGAAAGAATCAAGAAACAAGAAATTACAATCATACTTATTTGAACAGCTACTCTCTTCTAAGGATTTATCTCTTGAGTGTGTGATATAGCTCTCTCGCAGGCCAAAAAGCCCATAAGAGACTGCTCAAACACCCATTACTAACCAGTCTGTTAATATGAGTGAATATAGGTACAAACAACATTTTGTGATTGTAGAATTACGGTCTCCATAACAATAACAAAGTGTATCTTCCAACAGTGGATGCCGACAGAACCAAAAAAAATATTTAGTGAGAGCTATCCCTGACATTAAAAATTACACTGACTAAAGGATCAAAAAGGAAGGAAAGAGAAAAAAATGCCTTCAATCTAAATGACGGACAGTTTTTTCCATAGTAAACCTGATTATTTCATTCCCCACTTCTGCTTTCTGAATCAAAATCCAAATTCTTCTAAGATCTTGGACTTTTGCCAAATAAAAATAAGAAAATGCATCTTGGCTAAAAGTTTAAATTTTGACTTCTACAAATCTTGAGTACAATGTTACCTATATCCTGGGGCAAGGCCATTAACTATATCCTTATGCCTTAAAACCAATTTTGTTTTAATCCCATTCATGTTTGACGGTGATTTTGTTTTAATCCCATTCATGTTTGACGGTGATTTTAGATTTTGACACTGTTACAATTGGCTCAACAAACTGGAACCTTTTATCTTTATACAATTCCATTAATGCCTCTGCCTAGAACAAAAATCGAGCCAATCAATCATATAACTCCAACACAAAAGACTTCAAACGACAAAGAATAGCATTTTGATATCAAACTATTGAACCTAAAATTCTATAAATTAAAAGCTTTAACTTCTTGTCTTGTCTCTTATTTTCTCAGTAAAACAACAGAGCTAAAAAAATAAATTTTCAATTTCAGAAACCCAAAAGAATGCAAACCTCAAGGGCTTGAGTGAAGCGCTTTCGCTTACGAAGATCGTGAATAATGCGTTTAAGCTCCGCAACTCGAACTTTATTTCCATATTTGACCCAATTATCAAGCTCTGGTACTACACTTGTGTTGGGACTACCTAAAGGACTGATTGTTGAGTATAAGGTCAATTTATTGACCCTATTTGTGTAGTAAAATCTGCTAATAATAGACTTTTGGATCTGGTTTTTTATTAAGAGTTTCGAATTTGAAATCATACTGTTTAGGGTTTTTCAGCGGGAGCAGGGTTTTCGGTGTCGGGAGACTTGTTGCCTTCACAGGTTCTTTTATATGAATTTCTTTTGGCGTGTTTGCAACAACAAACTACATGTCGTTCGTCATTTATATAGTAGAATAACCTGTCGGATATATAAAAGCAGGAAACACGACATCTCATCCTTGACGTTATCTCCATGTGGTTCTCGGAGCAGATAAATATACGGTACGCGGTTCATACTCTTAACAGAGGAACGACATGTCATCACCCTAAAAATATAGCGACAATTCTTTTGAGAAACTTTTCAAAGGCGTTTGGTTCAGGGAATGTTAGATTATTGGAATCTTATATTACAAAAATGTGTTTGATTAGTTAGTGGGTATGTTATATTAATATGTTTGATTAAGGAGAATAAATTGGTAGGTATGTTATTTAAATTACTAAATTGCTTTTTTTTTTTTAAATATTAATATAATATTATTTTATTATTAAACCCCTAATATTTCAGATTTAGCTAAAACACCCCACTTATATAAAACTTTAATTTATAACAAAATCACCCCCACCCCTTGACGCCACCGCAAATCGCCGCCAAAAGTCTTCGAAAGTCGCCGTGAGTAGCTCACCATAACCACGAGGCTTTGATATGGCCGTTTCTGGCCATATCAGGTTAGATCTGACCGAAAATGGTTAGATCTATTTTGGCCATTTCCGGCTAGATCCTTGGCCATTATTGGCCAGATCTGGGCGAGATATGGCCAATAAAGGCCAAGAGTCTAGCCATTAACGGCTAGACCCATCAATCTGTCTGGAAATGGCTAGAATAAATCTGGCCATTTCCGGCCAAATCTACTGCCGATATAGCCTTTTCGGCCATATCGGGGCCTCCGAGTCACGGTGGGCTGCTCACAGCAACTCCAGGTGACTTCCCGTGACGGCCGGCAGTGGTTTGGCTGGTGGTAGGCGGCAACAGGTGGGTGGGGGTGGTGGCTTGAGTAAGCTGAAATTTGTTTTGATTTCAAGGGTAATTTTGTCTAAAAAATTAATTAAATGGGGTGAAATGGTAAAAGTAAGATTCATGTAAATAAATTTAAAAATAAGGGCATTATTGTCCTAAAATTTTGTTAATAAGGGATAGAATTATAACAAAAAAAGATTACTCAAGTAATCTTATAATACCTAAGAAAATAGAGGTAATCAGATTACCTCCAATATTATCAATAGTAGCCACTATTGGTATTTGAAGATTACCGAAATTTTATATTACTTGACAAACCAAAAATGGTAATTAAGTAATATAAGATGACTTAATCCTAGTAATCCCACATACCCCTCAACCAAACGCACCCTCGGAGCAATCTGCAGGAAGTCACCCTTGTAAATGTAATAGCGACATGACTTTCATGTTCACTTTAGTCTTTAAGAATTGTTTTGTTCCATTTCAAGTGATTGCATCTTCATCATGAAACTTTGCTTCTTCAAGAGGTGTTGATGCGATAATTTGTACCAATCAAGGATACCTAACTGGCCTTAGAAGGGACAACGTAAGATGTACACGTAATTATTGGTAACTAACAAGGTTGCTAAAGTGACATAATAAAATAAAGAACAAAAGAGATTTTATAGTGGTTCGGCGGTGTAGAAACGAAACCTACATCCATTGTTGTGCTATTATTGAGATGTGTTACAGGGTCGAATGATCATAAAAGAGAGTTCACGAGATAAATGAGGACATTCGATTCTTGTAACCTATTTTCTCTAAACACTCTAAAACAAGTTAGTGTATTTTTCTCTTTAACTTTACTAATACTGGAATCTTCTTGAAAGGGAGGTTATGGACTCCTTCTATACTTGGCTCGTTTGACAGTGGTTGCAAGTGGGTGTCACAGGGTTGTTTGCACCCATAATCTTCTTAATTAGGATCTGAGTCAGTAATTTTCATACTTGTGACAGGTCGAGTCATGCTAATGACAGTTTAATCCATACTTTTGATAGTAATCACCTTATGAGAGAAGACAAACGCTAATGAGACGACATGTAGGAGGATCTAGGCCATCGACACAACTTAAGGACGCGTGACACAAAACCCTTAGCTTCAATGCCCTATTAGATGCATGCAAAACCCATAGGCGGTTTTGATGTTTTCATAATTTTTTTTTTTTTTTTCTGTGCTGTACTAATGGTCTTTAGATTAATGGGTCTGGTTTTAATGTACTTTTTTTCTTTTCTCCTTTAGATTTTATTAGAGATGCGCAAGTTTTGTTTAGAACAGGGATGCAGGGCGGAAAGAGTGAATCAAATGACTGACTGCAGGCATATGAAATTGAGAATTCATAAACTCCCTCAACAAGCTACATCATTTAAATTGGTTATTTTGATTTATCAAGTAGTTAACACAACCTCCTAACCTTGTTTTCTTGTGCCAGGCAATCCAACAACTTAATTTCCAGTGCTTTAAATTGAGCAATTTGCATCTCCAGTTGCAGCTTTTCTTTCCTTAAATTCTCGTTCTCCTCTACTAGTAACAGACGATTGTCTTTCTCCATGGCTACTTGTGCATTAATATTGTTCCCTTCACTAGAAGCCTTGAGGTATGCTGGAAACACGCTCGGATCACTTTTCTTTCTACTAATCTCCACTAGCATATGCCTGCAACCTTTCTGGAACTTCTCGTGCCTAAATTCCCATTGCTTGGGTGACGTTTTCTTGAATCCCTGTTTCTAATCGTGGGTCAAAATAACGGTAAAATATAATAACATATATTATTAGCACATGTTTGCCATTAAAATTGGCAGTATGATCAAGTTGAATCTTGCCATTTTTTATTCTAATATATTATGTCTAAGGTCAAGGTAGTTGAAAAAAAAAACAGCAGTCCATGCATCATTCTTTTTCTAGCAGATATCTTTGAAAAACTCCTTGCTCAAAGGAATGTTAAAAACAATAGTTTTTTCTGCTCCAACATGCGGATATTTTGTTGAATATAAGCTCACCTTTTTGGAACACTGACTTCTCCTTAAGCAACTGATCAAAGTAAATACTAGCCTGGATTTAATTTTCAAAGAGCATTTTGAAGATGTGATGGTTTAGATATTAATGTGTATTTCTCTAAATAATTTTGGCATAAGCAGCAAAATGTTCCTCCATCAAAGAATATGTGATGTTCAAAATATTCAGTGATTCTGTGCATTATTAGTTATTAAAGAAAACATAGTACTCACATAGGTATTAAGCTGGCGAATGAAGCTAGAAAAATTGTTGTGCTTGAAGAATCTGGGCAGCATGAGCTCGGAGAACTCAGCCGGAGACCATACTATAAATCCAGTTCCATCAGCATTCCATGAAACAATCTTCTTTTTACCATATTCTTCTTCAACATCTGGACCTCCATCTCCTTGTTCAACCAAATCAAACGTCTTCGACAAGAATGGAGCAGGATTTTTTGTCTTTGGAGACGGGCCGGCTGAGCTTCTGCTCACGCCTAATTTATTAGCCTCCAAAACATTTCCTCCCATATTTTTCTGGGAAGTTGGCAGCAAACCGTTTCTTTATTCCACAGCCCTCTATTTATACCATCTAGTAGTCTTTCTCTTGGATACTACTGGCGCTGTGCAGGATAGACTATTGCGCATTTTTTTATGTCACTTTTTTATTATTTATTCTTAGTGCATGCAACTTTCTATTCCAACAGTAGATCTTGAATCATTGAATGCGGTAGATAATTGGGATTGGAAGATTTTGGATGGATAAAGTGGTTGGAAGTTTCATGAGAGATAGTTGCTGATTTTATATTTATGCTGTCATAACTTGTATGTTTTGGAAATGCTGACGAAATCTTGGAAGGGTCTGGCAAACTCTGATGTGGGAAATTAATTATTAAGAGTTTGATTGATTTTTTGACAAGTGTTGGGAAGGTGTGATGTCTTACAATATGATATAGATAAGATTGTGAATATGATTGATGAATTAAGAAAGTATGGTGAAGAAAGAGTTGGTGTAAAATCGATAGCAAATAGGAAGGCTTGATTTGAATATGGTAACCCTAACCCGGTTAGGTGTTTACCAGTGCCGATGGCATTGAAACTATGTGCTTAACAAGTTGATTTTCCTTTCACTTTACATTTCTTTTTTGTGAAAGTATTCCATTGCCGCCCACTTTTTCTTCTCTGTGATGTGCGCAATTAACATTTTTTCTTTTGACCAGATAGCAGTAGGGACATCACTAATAATTTATACTGTAAATCATCAGTCTTGTAATTCAATTATAAGAACTCTCAATGTCAAGTTGCTGTGGTGTAGTGGTTATCACGTCAGTCTTACACACTGAAGGTCCCCAGTTCGATCCTGGGCAGCAACAGTGTTTTTTATTTTTTATTTCTCATAAAAGCCCCTTTTTCTTATTTTGGTGTGATCTTAACTCAAGAAAACATTCATGGGGCTGCAGTTCAGGATGTGATGTGATGTGTTTGAAAGTGAATCGGCCATTAGTAAATTACAGATGAAATTTAGATTACTACTGAAAAGCCAAAACCGTTTAGTGATCTGATGGCAGGCATTTTGAAGAGGTCTTATTGCAGCCAACAATGGAGTTATATTGTGCAAAATTCTATTCACTCTGCAACAGGGGCGGATTCAGCCCCTTTGAGGGTAGGCCTCAAGTTTTAAAGAAAAATTATTAATATATAAACCCACAAAAATTGATATTAACATATATACCCAAATTATCCTCCAATTTTTAAAAAACGAGAATTATTATATATATATCTAGACTCACAAAAAACTACTTATTAATATATATATTCCAAACCTACATCATATTAAAAGTTTAAAACTTTCTCCACTCTTTTTTCGGCTCCACCTGCTTTTTATGATTTTATCCCCAAAATTTTTTATTCTCTCATTCTCTCTTTCTCTTCCTCATGCTATTCAATCTTAAAACTTTTAAGACTGAAATTATTGAAGCTTTCACTATTCAAGATGTCACAATTAGCTCTGTTTTCTATTTTATCAGTTTTAGGTATTTGTATTGCTCATTTCAATTTAGTTTATTTTAGGGTTGAATCATGTTTTTTTTTTTGAGGTTTTTCATTCTAATTTGAGGGGAAAAGATATAGATCTTGTGAGTTTATTTTGTGTTTTGTGTCTAAGAATGAACTTGTTTCCCCAAATTAAAACCTTAAATATATTTTAAAAGACGTTATTCTTCACTCTTCACCCACCACTTTTCTACATTTGAAACGTCACCATCCTGCTACTCAAAATAAATAAAGAAATTTGAGTTACTATCTATGTTTATATCAAGAAGTTTTTTTTTTTTTTTTAATTAATTCATATTAAAAGTCAATGCAATGTTGACTTGATTTAAATTTTGGTTGACTTTAGCTTAGGTTAGCTCTGGTCAAAGTTATGAAAATTTATATTATCATCTTTAGAAACCAAAAAAAAAATTAAAAAAAATTAAAAGAAAGTTTTGCTCAAGGTTTACATAACACATTTACTCAAATTTTTACTTCTTATGAATTTATTTAAATAGGAAAGTATTGTATTATTGCATTCTTTTTTCTCAGGTTTTTGATATTGTATTATTTTCTTTGCTTAAGGTTTTATGATTTTTTTTTAATTTTTACTAGTTGTTTAGTAAACAATGACGGAGCCGCGGAGGCCCCCCTCGACAAAAATCCTGGATCCGTCACTGCTCTCCAAGCGCTGCATTTTCGATCACCTTCTCCATATGAAGTAGCGTCGCATGCAGATAGAAGACTTAACCTTAACAAGCCAACTCCAGACTGTATTGTATTAGGGGTCTGAAGATAGCTTAACACAGATTCTTTCATTTATTTTATCTATCTCTTGAGGCTTCAAGATTCATTTAGGACCCAACAAGAAAAAGCCCATCAAAATACCCCCATTTAAAACTTCAAAATTTTAAATTTTAAATTTTTTCTTTTGACACTCATAAATGCCCTTCATTCGATCTTTTTTTTTTTTTTTTAATTTTAAAATTTAAAACAGTATACACTTCATTACTTTCACTTAGGCTATATACCCTTCATTGTCATTATTCCAAAAACAAAATTTTAAAATATTCCAATTCAAAATTCAAAATAATTAAAACTATAAAAAATTCTTACAAATAATTAACTCAAGAACATGATTTTATAAGAAGTATAATAAAGAATTCTATTACAAAATAAAATAACATAAGATAAGTCAATTTGTTAACATGAAATTTCTACTTTTCCCGACTAATTTTTCGTCAAAGAAATAGGTTGAATTAAAAAAGAAAAAATAAATTGAGAAGCAATTAAAAACTTTAAATTCTATATAGTTGGTAATATAAAATATTCCAATGCAAATCTTCTTTCTTCAATAAACTATCTTTTAGTTTTTAATATGATTTAAATAATAACATACAAGAATTAGGGTTTATGAGATAAAAATAAGGTGTCAAAAGTATTTATAAAGAATAAGTAATAAAAGTTAATTTTATTAATTTAATATAGGGATAAATTTATCATTATAAAAACTATTAAAAAGTAGGGTTTCTTTAGTTTATAAAAGGAGAACAACATTTTCCCACCCAAGGTTTGGCAAAATGACACTTACCCACCTGTCAAGTTTCAAAACGACATTTTCTTACCCACCGTTATGTTCTGTTAGAAAAATCTGTTTTGAAAAAGGGCAAATAGTCAATTTACATGAAGCTACTCATTCTACTTACTACATCCTATCTCTTGACCCAAAAATCTCTCTATCACTTCCCTCTTATTTTCTATCTCTAAAGAACTTTCTCTCGCAATCTTGATTCTTGCTTTCAATTCGTCTCTAGTGTTGTTGTTTTGGAGATTGTCTCTGCAATTTCGTTATTTGATTTCTCTATTGCTGTTGGAGACCAAACCGATTGGAACTTAGGGTTTATGTTGCAAATTCGTAGACTTGGGGGTTTGAGGTTTGGAATTTGAGGGAGTGGGAGGAAGCGAAGTCCTTCTGGTTTTTGATTGATGTGGCGATTGGTTTGATCATTTGTTTCAAGAATGATAATAAAGCGGAACTTAAAATCTCAAATGTCGAGTTTGAAACGATGTAAACTCGACGTCTTGGCTAAAGAGGACGATGAGAACTCAGCAAAGAGGAAGAAACGGAAAATTAATGGTTACTATCAGCTTAATCTACTTGGTGAGGTGGCTGCTTGCATACTTCCGGTCAGGTTTCACGGAATTCTTAACGGTGCTCTGGATGAGAAGGGATTTGCTGCATCTTGGTGCATTGAAGTATCGTGTTCTCTGGATGAGGTGGTGTCGAAGTCGAAGGTCTTAGATATATCCGGTTACTGAGCATGTTGTATTTATTTGTTTACTTTGGATCAAAGTTTTCTTCAACCAGTTTGTAAATCCATCTTGTTTGATTACTAATACAGATCAGTTAGGCCTGCCAGTAGGTGAATGAAGTTTGGAGAATAGTTTCTCCTTGTTTTGTTGTTGTAAAACATTTTTTTGACTTACTTTGATAGTACATCAGTTTATCTTTGACATCTTGTTAGGACTTTGAAGTTCTGTTGATGTTTATGTTTTGTGAAAGTGTTTTGTGCTCTGAATATCCACAATTTCTATATATTTGGTATGTTCTAACTTTTAACTATGTTGCATTGTGAAGCTTTTTGTAGTGGAATGATTCTATTGATGACTCACAGGGAGGATCATCCAATCATGTGCATAGATTTCACTTACCTAGCCCAAAAAGGAAGGTTGTCTCTCCACCAAATAAGCATGAAATTACAAATCAGAAGGAGAAAAAAGAAAAGATGGAGTTTAGAAGAAGAGGAAGCTTTAAAGAATGGCGTGGAAAAGTATGTTTCTTTGTTTTGACCATCTTGCCCTTCTTTAGAACGAATTTTTCTAACGGAACATAATGATGGGTGGGAAAGTGTCATTTTGAAACTTAACAGGTGGGAAAGTGTCATTTCACCAAAACTTGGGTGTGAAAAAGTCGCTCTCCCTTTATAGAACCACTCTATTTTAATAATTATTCTCTTACAAAGTTTACTTATATAAGGGTCCAAGTCAAAATGATTGTAGAAATTTTGGTTATCGTTTGATTACAGATAACCTACCGCATGGAAATTAGATGTAATTTTTTATTATATTATTTAAAAAATCCCTTGTGTGCTTTATTTATTTGACAAGAAACGTATAAAGAAAAAGTATGCTTAAATTTAATATAAATGTTTCATTTTAGCATCCAAGTGATGAATAACTTTAAATATGAAAGAATCAATAAAGTAAATAAATTTGTAATAAATTAACATTACAAAATCACATGTGCAGAAGATATGTCTCAACTTTGAGCTTTATTTCCACAAGAACTACTTTAGCATGAATTTTTAAGAACAAAACACATAATTTACTTGGCTTTAAAGCTAATTATCAAAAAGCTAAAGTTCTGTTGGTCAAATAAGCACATCAAGAGATGCAAATGAATGAAGGAAGGCGTTTGTTTCCCATATATTGAGGCATACAAACGAGGGGGATGACAAGAGTATAATTTTATTTTATGATAGAGTAAACGACATGTTCCCACTCGAGGTTTAGTGAAATGGCAAGTGGGTACTCCTGGTTTCATTTATTCCAGATTCCTACCCTTAAAGTAACACCATTAGTCATTGTTGGGTTCTAACATGGGTGTAGAGGCTATAATTATCGAGCTGCCCTTAAAGTAGCACCCTTCATCTTCCAGGTTTTCGCCCCTAAGCGTTGCAACAGCCTCTCAAGCCAAGTCTCGGCCTATTATCACACTGAAAATCAACCTTCTCTGCACCGTTCAACTCCCCTTCCTCCCTTTTTCAAAACCCATCCCTCCTTTGACCCTCCCCACTCACCGTTTGCTGCCTGCAACCTGCACTTGCTGTTGCAATTTTTGCATTTTCCTGGCCAAATCTTTGGCCGATTATCACACTGAAAATCAACTCTCTTGGCACCGTTCACTCCCCTTCTTCTCCTCTTCAAAATCCATCTCGTCATTTGCTACTGCCCGCGACATGCACTTGCCGTTGCGACTTTCGCATTTTCTCGGCTAGATCCTAGCCAATTATCACACCAAAAATCAACCTTGTTTGCACCGTTCGACTCTTTTTCCCCCCTTCTTCAAAACACATCCTTCCTTTGACTTTCCCCACTCGTCGTTTGCTACTTATGACTTGCACTTTCCGCTGCGAGATAGTCATGGTTTTACGGCCTTTTCATTTGTTTTTCGTTGGGTTTTGGTGTTTGATCGGTGTGGTTTGTTGTTTTTGAAGTATTGTTAGCGATTGTGTTGTTGTTGTGTTTATTTCTGATTGCCGACAACCACCCTACCACTCCAACCTTGCTCAACTTGCATGAAGATGGGAGGAGGGGCAATTGTTTGTGGTGTTGGTGGTGGTGCTAGAGGAGGAGGTGATAGTGGTGGAGGGCTGATGGGGTATGAAGTTTGGTGATTTCTGCCAGTTTGGGTGAGAAATTCAATAGGGATCCACTTAAAACTTGCGGCGATGGTGTCGACAATGGTGGTGAGTTGAGAGAAAAGTGGTTTTGACGCTTTTACCCTTCAACTGTTAAAATAAAGGAAACAGTGTTAGTTTAAGGGTATGAATCTGAAATAAATGCAACTAGAGATGTGAACTTGAGATTTCAGTAAACCTCGAGTGGGAACATGTTGTTTGCTCTTTATGATATGATATTCATACATATGAATATTATTTGAGAGGGAGAGATGTTACTTTATGGAATTATTATTGAATTCATTGTATATATTCATGGAATCCCATTTATTGAGCTTTGGATTTAATTTAACCTAAATTTCAATTTGTTGATTCATATTATTCCATTTAGATGGTTACGGCTCAATCTTTCTGTCATTTTCTATTAGATTTTATTTTATTTTATTTTATTTTTGGAAAAATCAACTTGTTGATAAAAAAACAATGGATGATATTAAGGTTCACAAGTTTTGGTGACGGGGATAAGGACGGACCTTCATCTTCAACCCATCCCTGTTAAGATATTGTCCCTTCAAGCTAGGCCCCAACCTTGGATTTCTGGGAGCAAGGTCGAGCGTGGGGTATCCCGAAAGGGGATTGCAATAGGCACCCCTAGTCACACACTCGAAATCCTCATATTTATTTTTTTGCTTAATTTTTGAATGTAATATTAATTATAATTAATTAAATATATTAAATATAATACAAATTTTTATTAGGGATGGGGAGGTCAGGTTTTATGGGTTTTCAGCTTTCCCCACCCTTGCTGCCGTAACCCGTTCTTGGTTCCGCGGTATAATTTTCCCCATCCCCGCTCCTAACTCGATTTTTCCAAGAATTCTCGCTCATGGGGTCAGGCTTTGGGTATCCAATTCAAAAATCTAAGTNCGTGGGGTATCCCGAAAGGGGATTGCAATAGGCACCCCTAGTCACACACTCGAAATCCTCATATTTATTTTTTTGCTTAATTTTTGAATGTAATATTAATTATAATTAATTAAATATATTAAATATAATACAAATTTTTATTAGGGATGGGGAGGTCAGGTTTTATGGGTTTTCAGCTTTCCCCACCCTTGCTCCCGTAACCCGTTCTTGGTTCGGCGGTATAATATTCCCCATCCCCGCTCCTAACTCAAGATTTTTCCAAGAATTCTCGCTCATGGGGTCAGGCTTTGGGTATCCAATTCAAAAATCTAAGTTCAATTTTTAAGACATGATTTAACAATTTCTTTTTCTTTTTCTTTTAAATTAAATAAAAAAAAGTAAACGCGCATTTTCCTACTCAAATAATAGCTTAATGACACTTTACCATCCACAGACTTTTGAAAAATTATTTCACTATCTAAATTTATATTTCGTTTTCGATTCTAGTATAGTTGCGACCCCATACCACCATTGTTCTCTTCTCCATTCATCACTCACCAAAACCCCTCAAATTTTACTCCCGTCGATCCCGTCAATCGCCGACAATCGAGCAATTAGGGTTTGTACAGCTACCACTCCCAAGTCAAATTCTGATCAATCCCAACCATCTACCACCAAAAGACTCATCAGCCTCCCCTTTTCAAAAGCCTCAACAGCATAGACCTAATTTGCTCTTTGTTCACTGTCAGAATATAAATTTGGGTAATAAAATAATATTTTAAAAGTTTGTGTGTGAGAAAATGTCATTAAACCATTAGGCGGTAAAAAATCCTTAACTCAGAAAAAAAAAAAAAAAAGTATATATTTAACATTTGCTCCCTATTTGCATAAGAGAGGGTGAAAATTTCATCCTTCATACGAGTTATTAACTCAACAATTACATATATTTAATTGATAATTCAACCATTGTTTGGAAATTAGATGAATCAGTAGAATTATTTGAATGGAAAGTCATAACTAATTGGGTTGATTTTTCAACTATGACGTCGAGCTTTCAAACTATAATCAGACTTTCCAACACAAAAATAAGTATTTGATTTTTGTATGAACAAAATTACACTTAACAGATCCACAACTTTGTCCCACCAAACATTCCTTTTTTCCTAATCCTGTTCGAACAAAATCTTGTTTCCTCGTTGCTGGAAACAAATTGCAGAAATGGTATCAAGATTTTCAGCAAATTTCTCTATTATTAACTTTTATATATATAATGTATCTAACCTACCATTTTAATAAGCTTACATCGGTCTCTTAACTCTCTTTACAAAGTATACAAAAAGGAAGAGGGCAATCTACTTAACTATATTCAAAATACAACAAGGCACAGAAGAAAGCAGCAGAAAAGGAAGATTGAAATTCTGTTTAGTGACTTGTCCGCCTGCATCTCTTGCCTTCTCAACCTTGGGTTACTACTACCAACTAGGTAATTGGAGTTGGGATATGTGTATAAGCTTTCTGAATTTCCGAAAACCCTTGTGTAAACCATCTCCCCGAACATACCGACTACTGGATGATGAAATCCAGTCATTCCGGAGCCCCCAAGATTAAGAAGTGAGGAAGAATCCTCTTCTAAACTGCTGTCCGGATAAGGATTATAGTGTTGATTTTGGTAAGGATTACGATATGGAAGCTGTTGAACAGAGTTTGATGTGAGAGATTGAATAGCTTGGTTGCCACAAGCTGGTGGTCTGGGGGGGATTGCAGTGCTGCGAATGCTTGCCTTGCCTGGAACCTCAGATTCAGTTGGAGATTGACCCCTACCATAGAGGGGAACCATTTGCGTGTGTGATATGTCAGCCTTGCATACTGGGCATTGTGGGTGTTCATCAGAAGAAAGGGAGGCACTCTGAACATGGAGCCACTTGTAAATGCAGGGCCAGCAGTAGAGATGGCCACATAAGGTGACCACCGGCTCATATGCAAAGTCCAAGCAGATATTGCAGTCAAAGCAACCATTATAATTGTCTGAACCAGTTGCTGCACCCGTAATGGACTTCCATTCCCGGGCAAAGTATTGCTCCAAGGCCATGGATCCGTTTGCACAAGTTGCTGTAGCTACAAGTATTTTGCTTGGCACTGAAATGAAAACAATAAAATGAAACATTATTAGCACTTAGTCTCAAAAATTTATTAATATTTGACACTATATTCACTCAAAAAATGTGCATCTATCTTGCAACACAACAAAATCAGACAGCCTAACTACTAGGAAAGAAAGGAGGGTAAAAACAAAAGAGCAGCAAGAAACAAGATAATGGTTGTCTTCTTATGCAAAAGAGCATCTCAACCAACTAAATGAGCACAAAGTTACACGCTAACAAACCCCAAAGTTTCTAAATTATAATGCTTGTTGGAACTCATGATCAACCAAACAAAAAGGCCCCACTGCTTGGCTTAATTTGCACCCAAGGGACTAAGAGGTAAGAACTGACACATCTCATCCATTATTTGGATAAACAATACAAGAAAGTTGAAAGGACCCAAAACTTTGAACTCGTTTATTTTAATCAAAATATGTATGTACAAACAGCATACGATGCATGCCATGCTACTTTATTGCCGTTTTTCTCCTTCTCTTTTCTTTTGAGTGAATATTTATTTGGAGTACTATTCGTGTCTTTCATATTCCATCATCTCATAACATTGCAGTGGAAGTCATGAAACTACTTTGTTTCCTTCTTTCTCCTTCTCCTTTCTTTTCACTGCATTTCTATTTATAGTTCCATACAAAATTTTCTTATTCTTATTATTTCTATCACAATGAAGTCACATGTATGGCTTAATTTTATGGTCTTCAAAAGATAATTTAAAATGTTTTGACCTGCTAATAAGGATATGTTAGACCACTTTCTAAAAAATTTAACAAATGTAACATTTAAAAACAAAAAAGATTAATGCACCAAAATTTTGTCGAACCACCAAAGATATATAAACTAAACTGCATAGAGGTAAAAGTCCAATTAAAATAGGGAAAATAACAATTTAAAGGAGAAAAAGAAATTGATGAAATTAGCTATAGTATAAAACACACACACACTTTCCCAACAGATGCCAGAAGAATACATAACTCAGAAACATCAGTGCCAAATCACCTAACATGATATAATAAATAAATAATACGAACAAAATAATATCATGGAAAAGGATATAGGTGATGCACAATCCAGCAGAGAAAGTAATACTATCAAACAATATGAGAAGCTTCCAAGCAATGACCCTCCAATGATTTATGTTTAGGAATCAAGGATTGTCCTCTAAATTAAATTTTCAGGCCATATATTACACTGAAATTAAGATTTTAACAGTCTAGTATGAACTGCAAGACTTGCAGATGACATTTAGAGTTTCAGTGCACTATAATAATCAGATTTTGATTATGAAGGAGCTAAAAATGGTTAGATTGAAACAGCAAAAGTTTTCACAAGTAAGCTCAGTATTAAAACAATTATAAAAGAAATGAAAGAAAGAAAAATTCAGAATTAAGTAGAGCCATCAATCCAAGTAAAAAAAAGTCAAGTTAGAATTTTCTTTTCTTTTCATTTACTCATAATGAGAATTCCAAATCTCTGATCTGGTGGTTTCACATATTTGTTGTCATAAAACTGAAATCTACTCTATCCAGGATGCCAATATAACCATTTACTATTTGCTTAGCCATTAATCAGAAAAAGAAACCAAAAAAATGAGAAAAATACTATTTTTTACTCTGCAAAACAAGGTTTCACATTGAATAATTATATTTACAAGACAACCAGAAATCCAAACTCACAAAATTATCAAGCTTAAAAAAATTTGAAGTTCTCCAACCAATTTCCACCTGTGCACCGCCATCCTCCCCTTTTAGTCAGAAAAATCAGATGGTGTTTTCATCAATCGGTCCCGCTTAAACACCAAAGTAATGGTACAGATCTCAACCTTTAATTAAGGGACGTGAGACTAGTATGACAGAAACCTGATCCCTCAAACTCATTGACTTATATGAAAAAGTCACGTAAAAAGCACGAACAACACCACATCTGTAAATAAATCGGAAAATTTTAACGAAATAACTGAATTTGATGTTCTAAGATTGCAGTTATAATCTAACATTCCCAATTGCTTGGTTCTCGGGAAAATTTCAGGTCATGCAAAATTATTTAACATCTAAAAACAAATAATGTTTTCAAGCAATTACAAAATGAAACGGACAAAAAACAAAGTCACAAGATCCATGCTTTTACCATCAAATTATAAAACAAGCAGGATTCCACGAAGAAATAAACTAAATTGAAATGAGCAACATACCTAACCAAAAACTGATAAAACGGGAAACGGAGCGTTTCGAGGCACCTTTCAGTAGTGCAAGCTTGAACAATATTAGGAGTTTTAAGAGCAAAAAGAAACAAAATAAATAAATAAATAAGACAGAGAGAGAGAGAGAGAGAGAGAGAGAGAGTGATTTGGTGATGAAAAGCGGGTGGAGGAGAGAGTTTATAACAGGAAGCCGTTCAAGTTGGTGGTGGTGTTTGTGTTTAGTTTTGGGCTTTAATCTGATACGGCATCTTCCACTGCGTGTGCTCTTCTCTAGTTCTCTTATTGGACCGCTCTCTGCTATCATCCAATTGGGTTTTTAAAAACCACTTAATTGCGCTTATCAATATTAATCTACTACTTATCATTTTTATTATAGAATCTCTTTAATTACAAAATTCGTTAAATCTTTCTTATAATTAAATTATCATCTTTCATTAATTTAAATTAACGACTTCTAATTATATACAGTAAAATCTTTTTATAGTCATAATGTTGGGATTAATTAAATTTATTATTATAAGAAGGTTATAATTTAATAGAGGTGTAGTTATAAGAATTATTGTTTTGATTTCTTATTTTATAATTCATGTTTTAGTAGTATTAAGATTTCAATTCATTGTTTTAGTAGTATTATGATAATATGAAAATGGATATCAAAGTGTCACTGTAAAATTGAGTAATAAAATTCAACAACTCTACTACTCTAATCAAATGGATAATAATATATCTTCCTCAATTATCCAAATGAGCAACAAGTCGTGTAGGGTTTAACTAAAGAAGAAATCATTATTTGAATTAGACAAGAAGAGGAAGAAGATAATCATGACGATGATAGTACGAAAATACCAAAATTTCATGCCAAGAAGCTTTAAACATGCTTGAGAGCTAGAAAATTTTGGCTTCAATAAGAAAGTGTCTATGCTGGCAGCTTATTACGTACCCGCAAGATAAAAGTTACGATAACAATTTTAAAGCATAAATCATTATTCCAAACAACTTTAAATAAATATTGTATTTTATCTTAAACTTTTAATATAACATAGCATATTTTTTTGCAATATATATATGATTATTACTATGTAAAGGTAAGGACTTAAAAAAATTATAATTTATTACAATGTAAAATTTATTCTTATTTATAATTGACCCAAGTTGGGATTATAATTTTTTATGATTACATAGAGGTTATTCTTATATAGAATGTCACTATAGAGAAGTCCTACTGTAATAATAAATACATCTATTCAAATCCTTATAACATATTTAAGTTAAAACTTTTATTATTTCAAAATTTTCAGATTTTTTTTTTTTGTTAATAACTTCTTTTTTTAATAAATTATCTATTTATATTTTTAATATAATTCAAACCAAATGGTTCACAACTCACCAGGAGTGGAGCAATCTTTTTCTAATATCAAAAACTGAAATCAAATAATTATCAATCAACCACCTCTAGGTGATTGGGTGGAACCATAAAAGCTCTTGATGTATTATTTAAAAAATCTTAAATTTGATTCTCCTCGGTTGTTAATAAAGGTGGTCACTAAAAGGTATAACCGTTTGTTAATAAAGGTGATCACTAGGAGGTATAACCGGTCGTTAACTTTAAGATTTCGATAAATTAGTTAAGATGCTTGCAAATTTACCGATCGTTAACTTCAGGATTTCGAATAATTAATTGAAATACATACAAGCTAGTCGAGTGTGATTAAATCTATCTTTTGAAATTTGATTTTACTTTAATCTATTAACTGGTTTAACTCAATAAGCGCTTATTTGATATAATGTTTAATAATATAATTCATTTAAAAAAAAAAAAACTAAACTAAACTAAACCTACATTATTATTAATTTTATGTGAAATTTAGAGGTTGAAGTGTGATCGACCCAAAGTCCTTCATGGTAACTAACGTGATTAGACTTTAGAGTCCATAATCTATACAGTGTGGGAAGGATCAATTATATGACTTTAATAATTGTATATTGTCTACTTCAGTCACGAAGAGGCCCTCATTCATAGATTTAATATAATAATGCCATCGCTGTATTTATTAACAATTTTCATCCAATCACATTTGTTCCGACCTTGATAAGAAAACAAAACTTCCAATCAAAACCAATTATCTACCAAAGGACGGTTCCTATCAGTCGATGTTCACTCAACCCATGACAAATTGTGCAGGCCATGTGAGTACCCTTAACTAAAATTAATTATTAATTTCTTAATTTTGGGAGTTGGGTCTGTCTATAATATATCAATCTATACAAATATGGTAACGTGTTTCATATAATAATAGTAGATAATGTTTCATAATTACATAATCTAATTATACTCTTCAAAAGTTAAAAAGAGATTTATATTACATTACATAATAATGTTACCCAAATGATTTGAAAGCAATTTAAAAGAAAAGAGGTCAAAAGAAAAAGTTTGGTTTGAGTTGGCTTGGCCCACCGGTCACGACCACGAGAAACAAGTGTTGCTTATTGTTTCAACCGTCGGCTCATCACATCAGTGAGCGGTGACAAGGATGGAGATGTGACGTGGGCTTAGCATTATCATGATACAAAAAAAATAAAAAAAAGTTGTCTTCTAGAAGATAAAGCGATGCAAATCGTCATCTCTGGTGTTGACTATTCTTCAAATAGTAATGTTACGGACACCAAATGTGTATGCTAAAATTTTGTATGGAATTACAGAACATCCATTCAGATGCGGTTATATTAGATACGAAACACTAATTTTGTGAATGATTGATTGTCTATCTTATACGGATGATCATCCATATATTATAGATAATTGTTCATTACAAATGAATAGTCATCCGTAATAATATTAATAGATTTTTATTTATATAATATAAATGAATGTTCATTTATTATAGATAAATGCCCATATAAGATGGACGCTCATCTAAAGTAGTTTAAAAACAAATAATAGACAGATGTCTATATCCAAATTCTAGTTTAATAATTTTTTTTTTAAAATTTTCAATTAGAATGTTTAAACATTTAGGCCTCCCAAAACATGTTTCATTTCTCTCTTTTTTTTTATAAATGAAAACAAAAATTACCAATTTAAAAAAAAAAATTATTTGAGTATGAACGCAATCTATCCCATTTAGATGGCCATCTATTGTATATGGACGATCATCCTCATTAGATGGACTGTCGTCCATGCTTTGTACTTAAAATCAAAGTTATTTTTTTTTTCCTTTATTTCATCTAAAAATTTTGTGCTTTAAAAATAAATATTTTATCTAAAATTTTTGACGCTTATTTGTAGAAGCGTCTTATCCAGGCTACAGGTTTTTATAAATGAAAAAGAAATTGTAAATTAAAAAAAAAATATTTAAGATGTACTAGCATCCGTACTTTGTGCTTTAAAATTATATAAACGGTCGTCCATAGTAAAAGAACTCCGGTCTATAGAGTGCTTTAAAATTATATGAACAGTCGTCCACAGTAAAAAGGACTCTCATCTATAATATATAGACGAGAGTCCATTGATATTTTATGAACTCTCGTCTATTTATAATGAACGATCGTCCATAAGATATATCTTTGTTGTATCCTACATGTCACATCTAAGTCAAATACTACATAGATCGGTGTAAAATTTTGATACTAATATTCGGTCGCTGTAGTATTTTTGTTCTTCAAAAAGCTCATTGAGTAGAAGCAAAATACTGTAATAGGACCCATGCCAAAAACAATTTCTGTTACAAAATATCGCCAATTTCTCTTTTAACTCATGATATAAACACACAAACTTTATTTTATTTTATGAGATGAATAAAAAATTTATTTATTTAAAAATGTAATTTTTTTTATAATACGTTATAATAATATAAATAAAAAAATCATTAAATTATGCTTGTAATGTGTGTTTTATAGTATCAAAGGGATTACTTTTTTTTTTTTTTAATATAATGAAATATCCATATTGATTTACATGCACTTTAACTAAAATTAAAAAAATTGTTAGGTTTATGCAAATAGATTATTAAAATAAATATGTTATGTTAAATATTAATTATTTAGTATATTACATGTTGTAAATACTAATGTTAATCTCTTTAATTACAAAATTCGTTAAATCTTTCTTATAATTAAATTATCATCTTTCATTAATTTAAATTAACGACTTCTAATTATATACAGTAAAACATTTCTATAGTCATAATGTTGGAACTAATTAAATTTATTATTATAAGAAGATTATAATTTAATAGAGGTGTAGTTACAAGAATTATTATTTTGATTTCTTATTTTATAATTCATGTTTTAGTAGTATTAAGATTTCAATTCATTATTTTAGTAGTATTATGATAATACGAAAATGGATATCAAAGTGTCACTGTAAAATTGAGTGATCAAATTCAACAACTCTACTACCCTAATCAAATGAATAATAATATATCTTCCTCAATCATCCAAATGAGCAATAAGTCGTGTAGGTTTTTAACTGAAGAAGAAATCATTACTTGAATTAGACAAGAAGATGAAGAAGATAATCATGATGATGATAGTACGGAAATACCAAAAATTTCATGCCAAGAAGCTCTAAACATACTTGAGAGTTAGAAATATTTTGGCTTCAATAAAAAGGTGTCTATGCTGACAGCTTATTACGTACCCGTAAGATAAAAGTTATGGTAACAACTTTAAAGCATAAATCATTGTTCCAAACAACTTTAAATAAATATTTTATTTTATCTTAAACTTTTAATGTAACATAGCATATTTTTTTGTAGTATATATATGATTATTATTATGTAAAGGCAAGGACCTAGAAAAATTATAACTTATTACAATATAAAATTTATTCTTATTTATAACTGATCCAAGTTAGGACCATAATTTTTTATGACTACATGGAGGTTATTCTTATATAGAATGTCACTATAGAGAGGTTTTACTGTAATGATAAATACATCTATGCAAATCCTTATAACATATTTAAGTTAAAACTTTTATTATTTCAAAAATTTCAGATTTTTTTTTTGTTAATAACTTCTTTTTTTAATAAATTATCTATTTATGTTTTTAATATAATTCAAACCAAATGGTTCACAACTCACTAGGAGTGGAGCAATCTTTTTCTAATATCAAAAACTGAAATCAAATAATTATCAATTAACCACCTCTA